TTTACTGTGTTGCTTACTACTTAGGAAAAACGAATGTTGGCACACTGTAGACTCCATTGCACTGGTCTTTAAGAAGTATATGTATTGCTTTCCAGTTTAAAAAACAAAAAACAGTAATTATATTTCTTGTGCTTTAGACCTAAACATTCTTTTAAGGATGTGTTTTTATTCTTCTCCATTATCACTTTTCTAGATATTTTATAGTGGTTATGGCTAAAGTTGTACGTATATATATTAGAGGCTGTGCTCATGTTTAAATGAATTGTCATTGAGGGATTAATCTTGTAACCTTTATGAGCATGTTTTATTAATATCTTATCATTAAATTTAATATTAATAGTATTTAACATTTAATAACCATAGAATGTATATGTAGGAATGTATTTGGTGCCAGTGAGTTTTGAAAATGTGGAAAGGTCATTATACAGAAACAAAGGTATTAAACATGCTCCCCATAATATATTAATTGCACTCGTTCAACTCATTTATGAGGCAGTTCTGGATAACAAAGATTATATTTTTGTTTGTCAGCATGCTTAGCAATATGCCTTCCAGGAATGGAAGTGTTTTTGGTACAGCTTTTGAAAATATCTATTGCACTCTTAAATTCTGAAAACACATTTGCCATGAAATTATTTATAATTAAACAGAAAATTGATAAAGTGGAAGGGGAGAATTTAAAATTGTAAATATTGTGATAGATGATTAAATATTTGTATTATACTAATTTAGTAATTCTTATTGGTAAAGCAGTATAATTTATGTCTAAAGAAGTACTTTTTAAATAATTGAATAATTAAAATATATTTGAACTGTTTTTATCCTGAAAAGATCTTAATTTTTAAATCATTTTCCTTTATCACATATGTGTGTGTGTGTGTGTGTGTGTGTGTGTGTGTGTGTATTTATTTGTTTCAGTGGCTCACTATGAATTTAAATATGTTTGACTGGTTTCTTGACTCTAAAAACCCACACTTTTTTAAAAAATGGCAATTGACGGGCACCCGGATGGCTCAGTAGGTTAAGCATCTGATTTTTGATCTCCGCTCAGGTCATGATCTCAGGATTTGTGAGTTCAAGCCCCATGTTGGGCTCCTTTCTGAGCTCAAAGGCTGCTTAGGATTTTTTCTCTCCCTCTCTCTGACCCTTCCCTGACCTCTCTCTCTCTCAAAATAAATAAATAAAGTTTAACAAAAAAAAGCAACTGAGAAAGAGTATGTAAAAATGAAAAAAGTAATTTTTGTATAGGTTGTGCCATGTAGGAGAATACATGTGACTATCTGAGGCTGTTTTATCTCCATTTGGAAAAATGCCATGGTTGTATCAAGGTTCCTCTGTATTACTTGGTTTCTTTTATTTACCTCCCTTGAGTGATATAAAACTAATAAAACTAATATTTGGGGAAATTGTCATTAGGTATTTCACTAATTCTAACTACTTTAAGTTATTTTGATATAATCAAAACTTTTATAAGTCGAAGCATGTATGAATGGATTCTGTATGTATGTATATGTATAATTGCTTGCATGATTATGTTAGCATGGTTGAATGGTTTCTTCTGACAATCTCTTTCGGGTTTTTTTTATTTTTTAATTTATTTTTTAATTTATTTTTCAATGTTTATTCATTTTTGGGACAGAGAGAGACAGAGCATGAACGGGGGAGGGGCAGAGAGAGAGGGAGACACAGAATCTGAAACAGGCTCCAGGCTCTGAGCCGTCAGCCCAGAGCCTGATGCGGGGCTCGAAATCACGGACTGAGAGATCGTGACCTGGCTGAAGTCGGACGCTCAACCGACTGCGCCACCCAGGCGCCCCAATCTCTTTCGTTTTATGAATACTATGGGAATGGCAGAAGGGAAATCTCTGTTACAAAGAGTGTTCTAATTCTGGAAATAGATCCAAATTTTTCTCAGAGTACAGCTTATGGCACAGGACCCACTGGCCACTCCATTTGGAAGATATTTTTTTCCTCCCATATTCAGGGACTATATGTTTCTTAATACAAATTTATACCTGAATTCAAGAATATCTGGAATCTAGAAAGTACCTTTCTTTCACTGCTCTATTTAATTCATACAATACCAAGTTTACTCATAGGCACAAAATTCAAGGATTTTGGATTGCATTATTAGGGATAGTTCTCACTTTGAATGATCTGTTTTGAAAAATTCATTGAAATCGGCTCTTCCGTTTAAGGATCTTCTGCCCCACTGCCACGCAATATGTAGTTATTGTCAGCTTAAAATTTTCTACAAATACAGAAATTTAAGACAGTTTTATTCTTAAATAGTTAATACTTAAAATGCAAATTAAACTGGATTGATGTAATTTATACCAATATTATTGAGGATCTACTAAGTTCCTATCACTACCCTAAACCGATAAAAATTGAAGTAAATTAAATGAGCATGACTGAAGATCTTCTGTGTTCACAACACTAAATCAGACCTGATAAAAAACATATTTCCCAACCCTGATGTGGAAAGCAAGGATGTCATAGCATATCCTTGAAATATAGGGTGCAGGGTCCCACGGCAGAGAAGAGACACTGAAAAGGTAGGGAAGTCAGTATTATCAGAGACGACTTAGACACACAAGGAGAAGAGATGATCTGCAGGGTTCTGGCATGAAGGGTCGTGTAGATTCGATACACCACAGAGTGCAATGTGAGAAGTTCAGGAGAGGCTGAGGTACAGGAATTTTGATGAGACAGGAACCAATAATCCAGAACTCTGTATAAATGGACGTTAGTGCTAGGGAAAGTATAAACTAATTAAATCTGTACTGTGGCCCTCACTTTGTCTCTCAAAATTAACTATCAGTGTGTAACTCACAGCAGTGTCCCCTTTCGTGTGGACTAAGTGCTTCTCCAGACTTTGTATTACAATGTGATCATTTGAAAATCAAATCTACCTTTCGCTGTTTTTTGTTTTTTGTTTTTGTTTTTGTTTTTGTTTTTGTTTTTTATGCCTGGAAGCGAAAGTGTGATTACTTAGCCTGGTATGGAAGGGCCTCTAGGGTGGCCAGACCTTGCTGTCCAGCTCTTCTCCTAAAGCTGCCGACTCTGGCCTTGAACACTGGTCATACAGAAACACCGGCATTGATCCACTGGGCGTACCAAGCTGTTTTTTAAGTGTGTACCTTTGTGTATGCCATCCCTCCTGCATAGGGTGCTGTCTCTGCTTTCTACCATGTTCTAACTGTTGATTCAACATGAAATTCAAATATTCTCTATTATGAACTTTTTTCTGACCTTTTTCCATGGTAATCCTTCATCTTGTATCACTACCCCTTCTATTTCTAATCTGACAATTAGACAACTGTATTTTAATTATTTATATCTGCCTCTCTTATTCGACTATGGAATTTCAGCTACTTTGGACTGGGAGTAAGTCAAGTGATCTAATAATCCACAGTTTTCTGCCAAAATGCATCTCTTTATATCTGTCAATGATAAAAGGGACCACTTGAGATTTGCCCAAGGCCAAATTCTTCTTCCTAAGAAATTTGAATACATTTCAGGGCAACATTGTATTATATACCCCACACTTATGAGAAGATAGTATTATAAATATCAAATATACACAAAAGAAGAGAAAATAGTATAACACATCCCATTATCCATTTTCAACATTATTAACTAATGGTTATGCTTATCCCCCTCTATATTATCTATGGCTCTAGTCTCCTTTTTCCCCTCAAATATTTCTAAGCAAAATCTTAGACACGATAACCTTTTGTTTGGAAATATTGCTATATCTATTTCTAAAAAATAAGGGCACTTTTTGAAAGCATTCTGATGATGCCATCATTACACCTAAAATATTAACAATTCCTTAATATTAACAAATCTTCTATTAGTATTCAATTATGTACTGCTTCTTATTTTTTAAACACTTTGGGTAAAAACCTAGGAGAGTCTACTTTATGACTGGTTGACAGGTTTCTTTTGGTCTAAAGCAATATTCTCAATCAGGGGAAATTTTGCCCTGTAAGGGATAATTTTGGCAGTCCAGAGACATTTTTGGTTTTCACAGCTGCCATGGGCTGAAGGTTTGTATCCTCTCAAAATATAGGGGTTAAACACTTAACCCCAGTGTGATGGAGTTTGTAGGTGGGGCCTTTGGGAGCTGATTACATTAGATTAGTTCATGCAAGAGGCCTTCCTGATGGGGCAAATGCCCTTATAAAAAGAGAAGACACAGGATGTCTATGTGTGTGCATGCACGAAGGAAGGCCAGATGAGAATGTAAACAGGAAGAGGACTCTAGCCAAGAACCCGACCATGCTGGCACCTCCATCTCAGACTTAAAGCCTCAGAATCATGATAGATAAATAAACCTTTGTTATTCAAGCCACTCAGTGTATGGTATTCCATTACAGCAGCCCAGACTGATGGAGGCAAGTAAAAGACAGTGGTACTGGTATCTAGTGGGCAGAGACCGGGATACTGCTAACCATCCTGCCTTGCACAGGACAGCTGCACAATAAAGAATGATCCAGCCCCAGATGTCAATAGCGCAGGAATGAGGTTTAGTCCAGAGGTTTTACTGTCACCTATTTTTTTATTGCAGTTTGCTTATTGAATATACTGGATCATTTGTCCTATAGAGTTCTCCACCATTTGTATTTGCTAATGATACATTGTCATATCATTTAACATATTTCTCTGTCTCTCTTGTATTTATTAGCGATTAGATTTAGAAGCTTCATCAGATTCAGATTTTTTTTTTAGCAAAACTCCTTTATTTTGTTTCATAGATAGTGCTGTATATTGCCATGAGGGAGCTATATAATGTCTAATTATCCCTCATCATTATGGGAAATTTGATCAACGTCTATATCCATTAATTCATTAGCGGTTGGAGACAATATTGTATTTTTATAATTTCTTCATTTACAGCAAATGTCACCATTTCTTGGAAATTTTTATTATGATGTTTGATATGAAAATAGCATTGTGCACGAAGCATTTACACATTCTGTATTTGTTTTTAGAAATATCCTGTACCACCTTGATGGAAAGACAAGCCAGTTTTCAATACTCCTGGAGGCTTGGGAGCACTGCAAGTTACTTGCATCAAATGAGACCATTCAGGAAGCCCTGTCAGAGGTGTTGAACAGCATTAATTCAGCTCAGGTTTACTTTAAAGCAGGACTTGATGTGTTCGACAGTGTCTTGGTTGGAAAGAACTGAGAAAACTCTCAGCATTTTAAGAAGTTTGTTTACAATTCCTCAAGCAAAAGCTCTAACCTAACCAGATTTTCTGACATTGAAGACTTTCCCCCCAATGACTTTTTTACAATTCCAAAGCTATTATTACGTTGTATTTTTAAATGTACATATAAAAGAGCATTTTGCACATTTAATATTTTCTTATATCTACATCTCTGAATATGTAAAAGCAAGTTATTGAAATAATACCTAAGGTTTATCTATTAAAAAGAAATCTGCTGTATTTTTATATATATGAAATATTTGGGGGGCAAAGTTCCAAGAAGTTCTGGACAATCTTCAATTCTAGGGATAAACCATGTAGGAACAGGAGTTATTCCCTATGTTACAGCTATTAATGACCTAGTTTCTGTAATAGAAATGGAAAGTTGATATGGTTTCAGATTAACTTCACTAATAAGTATTCAATATGAAGAATTCAAGTATTCCGACTGAATGATTGGTCGACCAAAACCACTTTGAATGTTTCTATTTTATGAAATGAAGTGCCTGTTCATAATACAACTAGATGTAGTAATACACTGGTTATGAAATTGTATTTTTTTAAGTATTAATGAAAAAAAGAGCCATAAACATTCCAGGGGAAAATCTCAAAGTAGCTGCACAGAGCAATTTAAATGCAAATTTTTTCCTAACAACTTATAAGGTGACTAGCTTTGAAACCCCTAATTTGCCTCAGTTGATTTTGTAAAAATTACAGGAGTGATATATGTCTTATGAGGGAGAAAATATTTCTTATTTCTTCTTCTGTGAAGCACTGAAACCTAGCTACTCTGAAATGAAAGCATTTTGCATTGTTCTTCCTACCTGTATCTCTTCTGAAACTCCTTCCTGGAAGGCAGTTTTAACAGAATACCATGTAATTTCCACAGGAAAGTAGCGAAGTTTTCTTTGAAAACCCAAACTATCTTAAAAAGCACCAAACTGCTGTTTCTGCCACTGACACAAAGGACTCACAATGAAAGAAATAGCTGTTTGATCAATGAAAAACTTCTTAATTCTGTGAAGAAACTTTTGATATTTTTCCTTTTTTATCCTTCATTGTGACTAAGATGCAAAAGTAGAAAATATTCATGCTTCTAATTTTATGCAGAAAATACAGTGTTACTACAAGAGTGTGTCATTCCCACACTTCGATTCTTCTCTCATGTGGAAAATGAAGTTTTTCATGTTGACACTGTCATGGAATGGCCCTAGCATCCACTATTCCCCAAAAGCCTACAATTCTTTCTATTGGATGACAGTTTAAACTGCGAGCTTCTCTTTAGAAATGTTCTTCTGGTATTGAATAAAGCGATGCCTCCTGGGAAGCATATCCTCAGCATATTTTATGTGAACTGTACCTAACACTGCACTCACACTTCCCATTTAGATACAAGACAGAACAAGATTCCAGGCAATGCTTGTATGTCTAAACGACAGACATTTAGATACATTCCAGACAATGCTTGTATGTCTAAGTCTCCGATGTTTATGGATAAGCATAAACCTACTCTTCATTTCAAAGAAAGCGACAGTTGAGGGGAAAGAATTAATCAGTATTGATTAATTGATTTATAGGGGTCAGCTGTTGCTACCATAAGTAATGTGTATAAGCTCAAGGCAAAGAGGAGAATTGATGTAATTAGCTAGATAATTCAAGCAGAAATCCATTTCATATGAATTGCCTGTGTGAGCATATTTTTAAATGACAAATGAAACTACCTTACAATGTTTTGTTTTTTTTTAAACCAATGTACTTGCTTGAAAATATTTCTCATGTTGAAGAGTATCTACAGGGAAAGGTTCCAAGGAGCAGTCACCCGTGAGCCTCAGCATCAGCTCCCTCTCTTGCTCCACAGAAATTAGCAGCAGAACAGAGGTGAGAAGACACAGACAGACATGTTTGGGGCCCAAAAAGAGAGTGTTGATACCAAAGGGTCTCCAACATTTTAACCAGACTTCGGTGTATTCATTCCAGTTCTTCATTTGGAGTTGAAGTTACTTTAAAACAACATTTTGGAGTTGGCGCGGAGTTTAAAACGAACAAAAACAAATAATTATTACTTTTGTAGTTTATCATTTAATTTCTCAATGTTTATTCATTTTTTGAGTTAGAGAGACATGGCATCAGTGAGGGAGGGGCAGAGAGAGAGGGAGACACAGAATCCGAAACAGACTCCAGGCTCTGAGCTGTCAGCACAGAGCCCGACGCGGGGCTCAACTCACAGACCGCGAGATCATGACCTGGCCGAAGTCTGACTCTCAACCGACTGAGCCACCCAGGTGCCCCCATGGTTTATCATTTTAAAACTCAATCTTAAATAAACTCACCCCCTTAGTCTGTAAGACTGTTGAGAGCACAAAGTATATGTTTGTATATTTTGGTTTAAAGATTGTGTACCTAGGTAAACCACATTGCATAGATAAAAATCTCAATATTAGTATTGCCCTTCTAAATTATGTGGTATTTGCTATTTGAAAAAAAAAACCTAAATGTAACTATGTATTAATGTGTTTTTATTAGTCTATTTAAGAGATGACGTGAAGAAAGTATTATAATTAAAACAGATGTCCACTAATTCTATAGATGCTGCTTTAGATCTTTGACAAACCTCTGACCTAGACATCATTGCTAAATTTATTATATCATTTTTATTTCTTTCCCTAACAAATCCAAGTAAATAAAATCCTATGCAAGTTAATAACAAGTGTTTTGGCGAATTGATAATAGGTTTAAATTGTTGCTGAGATATCTGGGTGCCTGGTACCTCTCACAATCCTTCATACATAGATTTGCACCAGGGCATAATGAGTCACAAAAGGTTATTCTCCCAAGAAAATGTGGCAGATGTTCGCCACTTAAATTTAGATTCAGGAAGGTTCACATGAGCTACTGCCCTTTGTGGAAAAGCAGAGATTCTCGAGGCAAAAGAGCCTGAGAGACATTCTGGTCTAAGCCCTAGGAAGTTCCCTTCAGCCAGGGAAAGCATCATCACTCCCATCAGATGAGTAGGTGAAGCCAGAGTGATTTAGCAATGTGGATATAGTCACATGTTTAGTTAGGAGCAAAAACACTAAACTAGAAAGCACTGGAATTTAAGCTTCTCTGCTTTCTGATGCGGTATATCCAGCTCATTCCCTGAGGTGCTAGGGTTATAAAAGATCTTTTCCAGTGCGTTCTATGTAACTAGCCATTCTACCAGATGCTATGTGGGCTGGAATCACTGCTTTTAATTAAGAACTAGTCATTCTCTGACTATACATGATGAACAAAACTGTCCCAGGGAACCCAGGAAAAGGACACTAAGACTGGGTAATGGGGGAAGTGGGGAGAGTCTCTCCATGACACCATAAGTCAGGAAGGAGGGCATTGAGTAAAAGCCCTTTATGAGAGGATATTTCAGCTCTTTATTAAATCAGCAGTCTAAATAAGTGTTTCTCAAAATGTGGATTTGGGGAAGTGAGGCTTAGGAATATTCATCTTTAGCAAGATTGCCCAGATAATACATATATACACTGAAGTTTAAGAATTTCTAATCTACACCAACCCTGGGTCTTAAGAAAACATTACTTGGTAATATATCTACATAAAATACAGAGTCACAATAACAGGAGGGACCTAAAGCTTTGCTATTAAAGGCACCATTAAAAACAAAGACAGAGAGAAACCATTGTATCTCTCAAAAAAGGATGCAGACACAGCTAATATCTGTGCTTCCTACATGTCAGGCACCATTAGAGACTTTTTCATACATTTGTTTCTTCTAATTGAACCCCTACAATAATCAGTTTTAAAAATGAAGCAATTTGGTTGAATGACTTGTCCAAAGTTCTACATCTAATAAAAATGGCTGAGGTGTCTCTCTACTGGGCCCTCTGGTATGCAGTCCTGTGTTCTTCACACTGAGTTCTGTAGAAAACATCACAAGAATCTTTTGGTTTATAGAAAGTTGTATAGCTGCAACTTTTAATGTATTTCTGTACAACTGATCAGACTATGTAGCCTGCCACTTTACTGGTTTAATTAAAGAGTTTGAAGAAACAAATGCACCCTTCCTTATGATGTTTGCCCACCCCAGCAATGATGGACTTGTGTAGATAAATTAGAAGGTATCTATAAAAGCATTAAAAATAAGTGTACACTTATAAAATATCATGGCAACTAGATGTAACATAGTAAAAATGATGAGAAGCCACATATTTCACAATTTCCTCCTCAAAATGCCTGTATAATTTCACTGAAAAATAAAAAAAGAGCAGGTGCTGGGATTTACAACCACAGTTTTATATCATCCTTAAAGATGGTATAAAAACTAATTGACTTTAAATATATATATTTATATATATATATAACTAATTGACTTTAAATATATATATATATATGGCATACAATAAGTTTCCCCTATTGAAAAAAATAGGTGCACAAAAAGAAAATAAACAATGATTTGTTACCATCTGCCTAATAATCAATCCACAACTTTGCCTCAAATGAAAACTATAATTATTTGCACAATAAATTGGTAGACCTAGCCAACAGTGTTCTCAAGAGACATTCTGTGGAATGTGTAATTAATTACTCCAAAAACTAAGCTTTCTCTGAGGGTAGCACATTGTCATCTCACTGGCTTAATAGGCTATTTAAATGTGCCTTCGCCACACACGCCACTAGCAGAATAATTTTAAACTGTCAATCCATGTGTTGAGCGGAAGGAAAATGGAACACACATTCCAATAAACATATCAGCAACGTGACTGTACCATCACAAGATCATGAATGTAACCCAAGGGAGAACTAAACAATGTGATATTTGAGAAAAGAAATACTCTGCTTAGCTGCTAGTGAATCTACATGTCTTGCGTAAGTTTAAAAACCTCAGAATCTGCTACTCTGAAAGATTTTTAAAAACTTCAAGGAGTTCTGAACACCCCATCAATTACAAAACACTTTTCAGTTAAGTGAGTTTGTTTTATGCAGTTGAGAATTACAAGTGACAAGAATTTGAAAGGACAGTTGCAAAAGAAATTTTAAATGTAGTCTTTTCTGGTTATCAACATATCCACTCAATTTTCTGTTTTCTGTTTCTAGATATTCTCTAGCAATGGGATTAGACTTTTTTTTCCGCCTGAGAAAGTAATTTTAGGATCTATTCATCTCAATATATATTTATCTGTTAATCAGCCAGTTTTACTTCCATAATACCTTTCAATTATCCTTAGAAGATATACACTGAAGTGCCTTTAGCATACCTAGGACTGCCAAGAATCTTGATACTTTGCTTATTATGAGATGACATATTTCTTAAAGACATTTATAATCTCATATTCAGATTGCATCTAAATTTACAAAGCAAAGGATTACATCGAGGCACTCTCAGTAGCATTCAAAAAAAAAGGAGCTGCTTCAAAGTTTAAAACGTTTCTCGTTATTTTATGTTTGGACTATATAGTTAAGTAATTTTCTGTAACCAGAGTGGTAATTTTGATGTTTTCAGCCAAAATCCAATCATGGAAGCCAAAGAAATGCATGGCTACTCTAATTTCTTAAGCAGGATTCTGTCAAGAATTAACTCAGAAGCAGCTGATTCAGTGCCTATATCTAGACAGAGCTTTAATGAGGATAGACGGAGCCTAACAGTGTTCTGTCAACTTCCTTTGATGTTGTAAACCAATAAGCACGGAGGTAGCTTTTCTCAGAAGGAAACAGATTTTATTTCCCAGGGGCTAATTAATATGCACCACCTCAGTCCCCAGAGGACTGCACAGGTGCCTGTACTATGCCATATGTCATGTGCTAGATTCCAGAAAGCTCAAGAGATTAATATACGATCATTATTATGAATTATTATGTTGCATTGAAGTTAATGTCGGTCTTTTGTTCTAATTAAAGTACAAACTTGGCATCTGAATAGAAGCTTAGCTAGAGAAGAGAAGTTAGAGTCTCTGTTTTAATGAGCTACATACATTTTTCAATCAAAATGTGTAATTATTTAATTATCTGGTCTGCTCAGTAAGTATATAATTCTTTCCTTAAAGGATCTTTATTCGATATGTTACTCTGCAGATGAACACTACTTGGAGTGTGTTTTGTCCTTTGAAATTCTTGGCCATTGTCAAATCAGGCTTTCATTATATATGCAGGAGTTTTTTATTTATATTAATAATTATTATTTGTTTATCTTTATGTCAAGCTCCTACATATGGACTACCTTACTCTGAGAGTCGGAACAAAATGTGATTACTCCTCAAAGACAGTTTTATCATATCTGTTTAATAAGAAACAAACACACAAACAAGCAAACAAAATATTTTACCATACCATTGCAAATTGTCTGCAGGAAGCAA